ATATATATATAAATATATTTATATACATTTTTATCAATATCGAAAAGGTTGAAATATCTTAGTTGATAGTTATAAAATTTAAATTGTTCCCAATGATTTATATATTGATAAATAATCAAAACTCAAACTTAGATATACTTGCAGATAAATCGTAGACACAATTTGGTTACCATCATGTACACTTTTTTTTTAGACGTGATTTGGATCAAAACCTAAGACATAATCGATACATATTATACAATTATAGTCTTTTAAAAAATAAAAATAAAATTTTATTTTTAAGAATAACTTCTTTCCTATCTATTGACCATTATTTTATTTCAATCAATTTTTGATATTACTCTATAAATTGAGCAGCACGTAACTGGAATACATGAAAAATATTCAATACATTTATTGGTAACTTATCCGCTTTCAGACTTTATTGGACTTTATTATTTTTGCTGGGAGAGCTTTTCTAACTTTTGTGTTGCCCAATATACTTCAACAGCACAAACCTATTTAAAAAACAATCTCTCGAGTAAAAAATGTTGAGCTTGTGTAGTTGGACACCGTTAGAGTATAACGAAACTATACTTTGTATTTTAAATTAATATACTCTCTAAGATTTTCTTGACCACTTTATTTTCACTTAACAACATATAAAAAAATTGGATCAGAATGTTTTATTCGTGAAAAATTTAGCGAATATAAAGTTGTGTAGTTAAGACTTAAAAAAATTTTACTAGAAAAAATAAAGTCTAATAAAATCTTGGAGTGCTCTACTATGTCCAACTAACCAACTAAATGGGTTGGACATAGTTTATTAAATCTATGAGGATTTTGAGATTCTATTATATTTAATTTTTTTTTATTGTAAATTGCCTATAAAAAGCACAAATGTATCAGCCATATATTTGCAATGAGTATACTTGTATATCGTATATCGTAGGTTTAATCTAGTGTTTATCGAAAACTTAATTTAACTTTGATTGTATAACAGCTGAAGGTTTACGCGCATTTCAAATTAAATTAGAACACAACAATTAACTACTAAGAATTGTTTAATATATTCTAAAGGGATTATCTCGAAACAGCGTTATCTTGTAGTCGCCGTGAGAGAGTGGTGTGGAACTGGGGAACCGTTAAGACGAACGAGTAGTTGTCAAGTATGTCAGTCCCTGTGTGTGTTATCAGCTAGCCGAGGTTCGTTGAAACAATATTCGGTCTGTATTATAATATTTCCACCCAGCTGTGTTATATGCGAATGAAGAGTTGACGGTCTGGGAATAATAATTAACAAACTTAATTTCATTGTTTCCTACACACCAAACGCTAATCTTAGAATCACCGCAGCCATATTATAACCTCTATACGGTTTGAAACACTGTTTTCATATCTGAATATTTGTCGGTTCAAGTGGCAAGTTTTAAATTAAATTTATAACCCTCCTTTGGATTTACTTTCTATACTCTTGGAATAAACGTGTCTACGCTCCAGGTATGCAAATACATTTTCTACTTAAAATATTCTATACAGCGAATTTATTGATGATATAAATTAAGAATCAAAAATTTGTGCAGAGCAATAATGTAAATAAAGAGTGTTGATTATATTTTTTATCATGCATTAATAACACTTAATTAATGTTAATAAATTATTGATTATAGAATGATATATAATTTGTAAAGTTTATTTCATAACCTAATCCCAAATGGCTTGTAAAAATTGTAATAATGAAACAGTTGAGTTACAATATTTTTTTTTAGTATGAATGTTGGTTCATATACATCAATAACATAACACAATCGTTGTATCAAAAATATATTTATTTGTGGATTTTTTTTTTTTTTTATAAGTACACTTAAAATAAAAAGTTTTATATCACTATTATTTTATAATACTTATGTCCTACACAATAATAATAATAATAACAATAAAAAATCATTATATTTAATAAAAATATACATAGAGTATATATAATAAAATAATAAAAGTATTAAATAATGTTTGGCTATTTAGATGTTTATTAAACTATAGGTAAAGTTGGCGAAAACTTAATACATTTTTAAATCTAATTTGCTTTCAAAATGTAAATCGTAATATCAATATAAAGATATCAGTTAATTTATTCGATATTTTGATCAATATCGTTCTGCATCATAAAATTGTATATAAGTACCTATTGTAAATATAAATTTATAATATTATTGGTAATATACCTTGTATGGCTACATCTGCGAATTTTGATATGTCAGATAAGTTTATAATCAGACCTTGAAATTTTGTTTTATTTATTAAAACTTAAAAGAGATTATTTAAACTTATATCTAACTTACCTTATATTTTGAATGTACACTTAATTGAGTTATTTTTTTTAGTTTTCGTGTTATAGCGGTTGTAACCGCTATTGGAAATATTTTTAATATTTTAGTGGAATATGATATTAATGTTGATATAATATAATATATTATAGCTACAGCATGACATTATACACGGGTAAAGTATATGATATATTTTTTTGATTATGATCTAACTGTAGTCTTTTTTATATAATATGTCGGTTAGAAAATCTCAAAACGGACACTATAATATTCAAAACTTAACAATGTAAAATGGAAACTGTGAAAGTCGAAGCAGGGAACCCTTCAACAATAATAAATTGATAAACTCAGTGTATTGTGTAGTGACAATTAAACGCCGTCGTTGTCGATTGAAGTCCTTTTGTCCTGTCGAACAGGTGACAAGTCTGATGGCTGGGTAGGTCTCCCACTCCTCGTAATTTAATTATCCTTTCCCTGCAGCCGCCCCAAATACGCGCTTGACGTCTTAATGCGTTTATCTCAAGTTATAACCTTCCTACCTATTGTTGTACGACGCCACGATACAATATAATATATAATATATCCGATAACATTATACAAACGCTGCAATGACACAGTCAACAAATGAGTTTTGTGGCATTTCCCACTTAACAACCCACGTTAATGAGATAGTGCATACGACTTTTGTGTTTATACATATAATTATGTGTACGAATTTCAGATATTCAAAACAAGCGTTCATTTTTAAATAATAAAAATAATTTTTTAGAATATGATTTGTGTGCACAAATCTATTTTCTTCAAATTTTTCGTTTGATACACCAAGTTTTTGTTATTTATTGGCCAATAATATAATTGTACAAATAATATGGTGTTATAATCTATTATATAATAAATATTTATTAGAACTAATAAATGAATATGACATAACTCTCACGCGTTAGAGTCTGAACTTTTTTCGAATAAAATAAGGATTTTCGTTTAAAAATAATATTTCAATTAAACTATAAAAGATTAGATCCGCTATCAGGTTCGTTTTGCAAAAATCAATTACGTATAATATTATGTAACATAACGAATTGTAGAAGCTAAATATAAATAATATAATGAATAGTTTTATTAATCTATTAATCAATAGATTATATAGCGAGTATTCGATTTCGTTTGGTAGAAAACTGTGCTCATATTAGTCATATTATTTAATACAAATGTTCGAATAAAATCAAGCACTGTCGTCTTTTTTTGTTATATTATACATAGAATTATATGATATATAAAGTTTAGCACGTGAAAACACGCGCGTCTTAAACATATATAGAGTATATGCAGTATTTGCAGACACCAGTAACAAAAATAATAACATCATCTGTACAGATTTAACTGTGGTTTATTGCTCCGATGTCTTGAAAGGATCGTTAAAATCGCCTGCGTGTGTAATATCCGGAAAGCTCCGCTCTGTCGCGCCGTCAACATATTTTTTTTCGTTCACATTTCCGGTGCGAGCGGAAATTTCCGTATAGTGTTCGTGCATTTGAGAAGTTTTCATGCATTTTTGAACGAGTTCGATTTAGCTTGTATTCTCGTAGACAAACAGAGAAAAATATGTACAAGGGGAGGCATTTGAAGCGACGGGACACGTATAAGCGCAGTACATCACTGGGGTTGCTTCTCGGAAGTCACGTAACAATGGGCGGGCGCGATAAAGCAGACTATAGTATATGGAACGCTGATAAAAAATAATGTACGGTCGGTTTATCATTTTTACGAGGCCGCAAAAACTTCGATGTTAAACTTATCGTTTTTGTGAACGGTAAATAGCCTCAAACTCACGTAACAAATCAGCTAAGAAGATGGTAATTTTGAATTATGCGCTCGCCGTGAGCCAGCCTATATATATATATATATATATATGATAGGCACATCCTGCTAAACTTCTTAAACAACCAATGAATAAATTAAGTATATGTTTAACATATCCATGTACGACACAAAATTAAAATTTCAGATGCCGTATATTAAGTTAAGAAAAACAGAGCTTTTGTTTATAAACTGTAAATTTAGAGATTACGATGTATTGCTGAAAGTGTTTTTGGAGAGTATATAATCTTGCTATATGCTTTTTAAACTTGCTTTACACATTGTTAAAGTAACAAGATAAACGCATAGAATATTCGCTATTATTGCTTCTTTAAAAACAGCGAGGTTCAAATCAATTGTTTAAGTCAGTAAAAATAGATTTTGTTCTACTTAAAATAGAGGAGTAAGTACAGGGTAATCAAATATGAAATAAATAAACTAAATGTCTTTACGGTAAACACATATAATGGTACCAACGAAATAATTTTATATTTGTTTTTAATCCCGCACATTATTATTATAATACACATGTACATATTATATTATATACGAGTAGGTACCTACTACCTACTACCAGTGTTTTGTCTTACGGTTAAGTATAATAAAATTGAAAACACAAAGGTAACTTAGAACATAATTAAAAACAACGAGAGATCCTTTATATAAGGGTTAAATTAATATTACATACATACTTACAAGTACTATTAACACTAAACTAGTATAGTACTATATTATATTATATAATTTATAGTTTGGTAAAGGTTATTTTGTTTTCATATATTTAAATATTTAGACAAAAGGAATAATTTACTAATGTCAAAATGTTTAACATATTATTTTCATATAAATATTAAAGACAGTAAATAGACACTATTTAATTGGTGTAATTTAAGCAACAAAATAATAATAATAATAATAATAAAAACATTAAAGGGTAATTAGGTTAACACCTTTTTTTTTCTAATTGCACGAACTTAAAGTTAATTTTTTCACTTAAGTTTGTGAACAAATTTGAAACAAAATCATAGTTTTATTCTACGAATAATCTCTTATCGCCGTAATTATCCAAACAGACAAAATCTGTCTGTAACGATTTTTATTCGTTAAAAATCTAATAATACTATACTTAATTAAATCAAAATACTCGAAGGAAATTAATAACGAAATAGTTCTAAAATTAAATTTTAAAAGAGAACGTCTTTTTGAGAAATAACACATTTTTATGTTATCATTTAACGTCGTATAATTGAAGCTGAGACTGATCGCCGTTCGTAGTGGCACCTGATCCACCGTACTGATGTCCATTAGTGGTGGGTGCTCCGTGATGGTGCCCATGATGATGATGTCCGTGGTGGTGTGAATCAGTTGGTGTGGCTCTACGATCTCCAGTCCCGTTGCTTCCTGCAGTCAACGGAAGATCTGCCCTACCCCCTCCACCAACCTACAACACAACGACCGTAAGGGAATAATTATACATTTTATCAAAAATAAAATAAAACAGAAAACATAACAAATTTGATTGATCAAGTTTACAAGTTCACAACATACTAAGAAACTACTAATAAAAATTATATACTATAAAAAACAAAACAAAACTGGATAAAATGTTTATTGTGTTTAACTAATAAATATATTAACCATTGTTGTCTAGCTCTTAAGACTTAATTGAATAAATTTATTTTCACTGTACTCATTATAAATGATTAAAATGCGTAGGAATGACTGCACATTTTAGTTAATGGTTAGTATAAAATAATACTAGAAAAACAAATCGTTTTGATAATATTGTTTATTATTCTTTTAAATTAATCCCCAATATCTTAACAATAATATATATGAAGTAAATATTACAAGAGTTTACCAATTGCGCTTAAAATTATTATTTTATGTATCAATTGCGCTCAAAACATTTTAAAATACTTAATGAAAACTTATTAGTTAGTTATAACTAAGTAATAAATTAATACACACATCGATTATAGTTAGATTTTAAAAGCACCGTTTCACTTTCATCAGATAATACATTTTAAGGACATGATTTAACTATACATCTCGACTTAATTCCATTTTTTTATTTAGTACATTTTCGAAACTTAAAATCATCGAAAAGTAGCAACGGTTTACCTTTTTCACTAAGAGCTTGCTTACTTAAAACAATCCATATTGTAATGTAAAACAACTCAAATTAATCTTAAACAAAAAGATATAAGTAACAGTTATATCATTAATATGTTATCCTATATAGTAGAGTGTATATTGTGCAATGAAACAATTAGGCTTATAAATATTCAACAATTATGAAAAATTATTAAATTTATTTTCGTCGCAAATTTATACTTGTACGATCAAATTAGCGTAGTAAAATTAAATTTTGTAAAATTATTCTCGATACTGTTATAAATTATATTATAACTAGTCACTTATGCAGTATAATCAATTAATCATTAAATAAGTTTTTAATTTTTAAGCATTTTAATGTGTTGACTGTTTATGTTGAAGTCGATAGAATTAGATTGAACAATAATATTTTTGTATTTGAAGATAGGAAAATTTAAATACAAGCACAATTGGTACACTGATCCTAAAATATAAGGAGCGCAATTGGTACACTAACCCTAAACAAAAATGTTGATTTAGGTACAATTGGTCCATGCCCAATATTACTATTATACGAATTTTAGTGGAGTTAGTATGTTAGTTTTTAAATTAGGTAATTTATATGATGTATAAAAGTTTTTAGATTTGTATTATAATTATTTCTAGTTATTAGAAAATAATTTCATTTTGTTTGAGTACAATTATTTGCTTTCTTAAATCTAATATATATGTAGGTACATACCGCGGGTGGTATGTGTGTAGCGTGACGTTTCAACTGAGCCAAAGTAGCTGGGTTATAAGCCATGTTTGCAAACACCATCCTCTCTTCGAAATCATATTCACATAATATTTTGTTTTCACACAAGTAAAAGCGATCTCCGACACAAAATCTGAAAATCAACATTAAATACAATATTAAACAATCGTCAACTATTTCACAAATAAATCGCGTGGCGCGTAATTGCACATGATTTGATTAAATCATGAAATATATTAATTATAAAATGTTGATAGTAAACATAAAAACCAGAAGAGATAATTTTGAAATTTAATATGTGTGTACATTAATAATCCGTTTATTTAAGGTACACTTACACACAATACATTAATTAATAAAGCTATATGGGGTTTGAAATAAATTTAAATTTGATTGAACCAAAAGGATTATCGTAATAATGTAAATTAAGGGTTCTGATTTTGATTAGTACCGTATTGAATTACTATTAATATTTTAGAACATTAGAACACAGTATCTAAACGTATATTATGTAAAAATACTTATATGTATATTATATGTATACAGTAGTTTATGGATGTTTTCATCGTTTTATTTAAGTTAATTTAATTCAAATAATATTATTATAACACTTAAAATAATTGACAAAAAAAAAAAAAAAAAAAAAAAAAAAAAAAAAATATGACAATAAATTATTTCAATCTGCAGGGACAATTCAAACTCTAATAATAAAGTTTTGTTTTTAAATTAATGTGTTACAAGTAAATAAAATCGAGTTCAGCAGAAATCTTAAATGTAGGGAGTATACTACGAGAGAAATAACATTTTTTTAATAAATCATATTTGGGGAGTTCGTCTTCTAACGTCCTTCATATACATCATTACTAAGGGTGTACGTTTCCGGCGGATTGTTTATTTGAAGTTATTTGTTTTACTATAGCTTTTGAAAATCTTTAAATCAAGTTTATGAGAAAACAGTTTATGAGTGTAGCTCGATTAGATTTATAAGTCATTTAAAGGTCGTGCCCAGGGCAGTTATGTCATGGTTCGAAGGCGCCCTGGATTATGTCTTTATTGTGTCGATAAATTAAAGAAACTTTGGCTCCCACTTTTTGCTACTTAATAGCATTGTTTTCGATGGAAAAAAAAAACTCGAGATTAATAACTGATTTATAAAAGTTTTAAAAGATTATTATTATATTAACGTTCAGACATTTATCTCATGCCCTTTTTACTGAATTAGCAATCATACTATTTTCTTTTACATAAACCTTGTATACTGAGACAGTGATATGTAAATGAAAGTTTCAATATCGGAAATCATAATAAATTCTTAACGCCTTGAAGAAAACGGCTTAAAAGAAATATAATAAATGGCTAATAAGGGCTATAAAATTTATTTTACAGTATTTATGTGTTGCGATTACTTTGAATACTGATGATACTTGAGTATTCTAAAAAAAATATTGTAAAAAAGTGATATAACTCAATATTGAAAAACAAATTATCATTATATTAAAAAGCTAAGAATTAAGAAAAGTAAATTACTACGTATTATTTAATTATTATATTTTACGGCATTTGAATTATTTTCAATTTAAATTTGAACTTAGTATATATGCATTTTCGAAAATAAACTAATCCAACTGCGATGAGCAGAATCTTTCAGCAAATCTTAAAAATAGCTCTGACCGTTATTTATGATATACAAGCTCTGAAAGTCTCTACTAGCGAACAATTATTAAAACCTGTATGCTCGACTCAACTCGACTCATACTATCTGCCTGCTGTACTCTTCTGCCATCTTCCCACCACTCCCAGTATTCGGCGTTTAGGACACGTGTGTGTCTCTCGTAAAAGCGAGTTATCCCTCTCATCGCGCCTTATCGTTTGACTTCTCTCACACGGAAATCCTTTCACGCGGGTGGCGACGATTTAAAAACAAAAACCTCTCTTCCAGTTTCTCGGCTTGATGCGCGTTTGCACCCGTCGAATAATTAATCAGTATATTATATATACATAATATATACGCGCATTTTCACGTTCTCCCGCCCCTGTATATAATATTATATATACGTATATGTGCCATATTATACCCCCTCCATCCACCACTGCATAAAATCAAGTTTTGTTCGCATTTAAAGTTGCATGAATAACTTTTAACACATTCGTACCCCGCTCCACCGACACCGCTCACAAATCGTCGCTCTTTCCCTATATTATATTTAACGGAACTGCTCCTGCTGCTTCTACTGCTATAGCTGTTACGTCTACGGCACTTTATGGTGAATAATCATTAGGTAACAACAGATGACGTTTTGACTAAACGGAGAATACATTATCCAGAGATGCATGTTTTAACGAATTCTCAGTATATATGCTTAAAAACGGTAAATCTTTGTAGCATAAAATATATCATTCTGCGCTCGATTTCGTTTTATTATTTGGCACCAGCGATCCCGTCAAAATAAATTAGTCCCACACTAGTCGGTATTAATTATATAATGTTATGATAATACATATCGACTAAGAAATTATCATGACATGTACCTGTACATAATATAATAAATCTTTTACTACGACGTATGAGTTCACGTGGATAAAAATGTTTTCAAGAAGTGATTAAAACTAAGTGTCGTTGTATATAATATATTATTATTGCATTAAAATCTGATTAAACTACTATATCATTATTAAATAATATTGAATATTATTCGTGTAGAATTTCGAAGTAGGTTAAAGCGTTTTATTTTAATATTTGGTTAGCAAAAATATTTCGTATCGTAAACTATTTTTTGTGTACCTATGAATTATTGAATACTTAATTTTATATTATTAGACTACTCCGTACCTGTATTCTCTTTAGGTATCAATTATATTTTGAAATGACTATTTAACCAAATTAAAAGATAATAATTTATATGTTTAAAAAATTCTTTCCAACGATGCATATTCATGAAGGATAAATTATGTAGACGAGAAGTAACCGATTAGACTATAATATAACATGCAAGACATATTAATAGGGTGCCATAACTGAAAAACGTAATGCAAATAATTTGTTTGTTTCATTCATAGAATTTCTATTTATTACTTTCAATAGTTTTTACATATCTTATAGTGAATTTTTAATTGTACTTTTAAAGTATTGTAACAAGGTTTGCTTAAATATAATTAAAATTATAATGGTTTGATCGTGTGAAGGACCACCGATGTACCGACGTTCTTTAATTAACTCTTCTCGGATGTTTATTAATGCTAGTTTTATTCACATATTTCTGCGGTATACAGAAAATACTGCCTATACTCGTATATACACACACAATATATCGTAAAAAAGTTATTATTTTAAATTAGTATATTCCCTTGTGTCAGAGTCAGATTGAGTAAAGTTGCCTCGAAGGGTTTGAGTGAAAACAAAATTATTTCATGTTAGTGTTTAAACTTAAAGTGTGTCTTTAGTTTTTAATAAATTATGAATTATGGCTCAGAAGTACTTATGCATATTTAAGACTATTTATTTTAGGTTACTCAATGACTTTGTATATTTATATGGTTATACTTACTTAAATGATTTTTTCAGTAACTAAATTTAGAAAATGATTAGTTTTAAGTTAATTTTGGTAAATTTTATATTATATTAACTTAGTAATTTTACACAAATATTTGTATAATATAAGTTTTATCTTTTTTTTTTTTTAATTATTCATATAACAGTTATTTTTCAATAATATGAATTTTATAATTTATCTGTAATATTGTTTTCATTTAAAATTTTGAATAATGAACTTACAAAAAAATAATTGCACACAAATAAGTCAATACTTGAAAGTAATTTTATTATTTTTATTAACGATAGTTTAAAAATATTTACTTGATAATACATTAAATAATAGTTAAAAATCTAATATTTCTAATAATACCATGAATGAGAATTTAAATATTTAGACCAGCTTTAATCAAATAAAATCTTAGTCCAGTCAGGCTAAGGTCTTATTTTGAAGAGTTTGGTCTTTGTAGCTCTTTTCAAAATATACTGTATAACATAATATGTTATTTAATATAATGATAGTATTTATTTGATGCCAAAACTATCGGGAACTGGTATTATAGGATATCTTGAAATCAATAAAAATAGCTTAATTTTTTTTTTTTTTTTTTTAGATTTCGATTTAGATTATTTAATACATTTAGTGTCAGTACTATTGAAATTCATGGAGAATAAAAGATTCAATGACAAAAATAATTACGTACATAAAAAAAGATTTTTGATTAGCTATTATTTTTTATGTGATACGAAAAAAAATATTTATATATAATATTAATCCACCACATGAAGTGTTGGTGTTTTGTGGTTCATCAGCGTATACTATATAGGCGTGTACATGGAAAGATTTCAACCCCTGCAACAGTGATAAAATGAAACGACGAACATCATAGAGGAGGGAAAATAAAAAAGAGAAATGTTATCAGTTAAAGACTTTTTTTTCGAATTCTTTTTATGAGTCTCTCACGTTTTCCGTCTTCTCCATCATGCACAAGAATTATTACCCTTATCTAAACACGCTGTTGTCATTAGTGTGGGTGCAATTTCCGAATTTCATCTCGGTCGTGTTGTTTTTTTCGATTCTTTTAAATCGAAAGCAATTCTTACAAACTCCGCCTTTTTAGTGTAGTAAAAAATACATGGAAAACAATCACTCACACATAAAAAATAATATATATTGTCAATTGTAAATATATTTAATATGGGACTTCAAACTTCGAATTGAATATCATTATGTTAAACATATTTGCAATAATAAATAGCATTTTAAATAGTTTATTTTTAATTTAATTCACTAAATTTGTTTTGTGTGTCATTTAAAATAACTAGAATATTTTATATTGAAAAATGTCGTATTTAAATATTTGTTACTCATCGATTTGTTCAATATTTTATTAGATTTTTATACACTTATTGTACAGAAAGTGTACAAGTTGGGAAAAAGTGATTAAGTACTATGATGCTGCAGTAGCTATATTTATCGGTACTGTTGTAGTAATTGTAAAGTCATAAAACGTTTTATAGATGTTTGAAGAGATCAACGTCGTCAGCGTACGCGTTAAAGTGTCGTCAAGCGGGTAAAATGAAGAAAAACCAAAATTCAGGGA